TTGGATTCTGTAAATGGATTATGGACTAGAATGATAACAGCATATTATGTGGTGGTTAAACTCTAAAGAAAGATTCAAAAACAACATTTTGGTGCATCATTTTATTTTGAAAGGAAAAAATATACATATATATATAAATGGCCTTTAGAAAGCAGAGAGGAATGTCATGATAGGAAACAAAAAGAAAACCTTAAAGTACATTTACATTTGTACGCTTTAAAAATTCTTTAAAATATGAAGTTTCAATAAATACTTCAATACATTTAGGCATGCGGATATATTTTTCATGATTTACATTTCATTACAGTATCATTCTTAAAAGCCCCCCCAATCTTCGTTATTGCACTTACGTTGTAACTGGTTTGTCATCAAACCAATCACATGCATAAGGTCGTAAAGGTCAAACTGGCAAAGAGTTATGGGTGGAATTTGAAATCTACCAGAGTTAAAATGGTTTAAAAAAAAACAACAACTTAAAATAACCCTGTAAAAGTTTTAAAAAAAAAAGAAAAGAAAAAAGGAGAAAGTCAGATCATCTGCTGCCAAAGGTTTACACTCATACAGATATATTTAAAAATCTAACAGGATGAAGAGGAACTGCGTGCAAATTATTCATGATGACTTTAACACTTAGCAGCAGTCTTTTACTCTGACAGTCGACTAATTGCCTTCCTGTTATACAGTATGCAGAAAACATAATGCTACAGTTAGCTTAGCTTAGCATGAAGACTGGAACACAGCCCCACATTTTTAAGAATTTTAGGAGTGATACTGTTGAGTCTGTGTTTCCACTTCTGCTAGTTTAGAGACAAAAAAGATTTTTCATTTTAAAAAATCCAGTATTCAGACACATGAAACATAAACACACTTCCCTAACATTTGCTATGTGTAGTTATTTATTACTTTAAACAAGGCCAAATTCAGGTTTGTCAGAATTCGATGGTCTGTGTTTAAAATCAGCCAAGTAACAGTCCTGCTTTGACATAAGTACATCATAAAAAAACCAAAACAAGCGTCTAAAACTCATTAAGTATCGCTTTTAAACAGAGAAGCTAGCTCTGTTTTCAGTCTTTATGCTAAGCTAAGCTGGTAATCATTCAAACACAGCAGCACTGATGTTATCAGTGCAATGTCAGCATATGTGGGAAGAAAAAAGAAGACATACATTTATATATATGACATGTTGCTCACTCAGTGCATGGCTTATCAAACAGGAAAATGTGGGATTAGTTTTTCAGTTAACAAGTTTTCTCAACAGATATTAAAAACCAAACCAAAACACCCCCCCACACACACCTACACTTCCACACACACACACACATCAACACAATCAACAACTCCAGTAAATAAGGTAAGGAAGCAAGCTCGGAAAACATCTTTCATAAAAGAAGGCAGTGGAAAGACAGCATCTCTCTGGTGAGGAAACTGACAGTAAAAACAACAAATGAGCGCAGCACAATAAATAGAAACGTCACACATACTCCTAAAGCTCCTCTATGAATCCCTGCCACACCGTGTAAAGCATCTGAATTATTACAAAATAATATGCTGGTTATTTTCATTGTGTGGAGATAATAGTAAAAAATAAAGACAAGAAGGAAGAACACCTATCACCGTTTCCTAAAGCCAAAAGCAATGTCTTCAAATGTGTCAAATATCTAGGTTACGGTTAGCTAATGTGCAGCTAACTATCACATGCTAAATGAAACAGAAAAAAGAAGCAAAACAAAAAAAACAAAACAAAAAAAACAAAGAAAATTCTCAAATTTCAACATATCGGCCAAATATCATTACACTACAAGCTGATATCGGCCCCTCTTGACAACGCTACACCCCCCAAAACAACAACAAAAAAAACCAAAACAACGATTTTACCAATATTAGTCAATATTTTCTTTTTGCCAGATCAATTTTGCACTGTTGAATTCTTTAAAAAAATAACACAATAAAGAGATTAAAAGGCAGTTATATTCTAAAATTAAGATGAATTTGTTTGCTAGCACAAAAGCAGAAATAAACAGGAAAGAAATGTCAGTCAAACTCTTATTTTAGAGAATGTGAAATTCTAGACCGATAACAATCTGTGGATCTGTATCTAAAGAGCCGAGCTCCATTATAGTGAGTCATATCTACTTTTTTTTGCTTTTTGGTTCTGCTATTTGTCAATGATGAATCAAGATCAAAGTAACAAATGAAAGGGAATCTGGTCCCAACAATATTTCCATCTGTAAGGTGGACAGTAAACTCTGCCAAACACAGAAAACATCCAAAGCTACATTCAAGAAATCATTTATACTTCAAATGGAGCTAAAATAGAAATGTCATACAGGTATAGATCTGTCAAAATACTGACCTGGTGTTAACGGCATCCTTAAAAAAGAAGTGGAGGATGCACAACAACAGATAAAGCTTGTTATGTAAAACCACAGCTCTTTGTGTGCTGATGATTACAGTGTTACAGTGTGACTATGATGGGAACACCAGGGGCCAGATGTGCTACTGGTCTACATCAGCACCAAGCTAAAAGACGCCGGCAGGTTTTCTGTGTGGCTGGCTTTATCGTTTATGTATTAGACAGATTTTTCAGTTCAGAGTGCAAAGAAGAAAAAAAGCGACACATTTAAGAGAAAAACTCGAAAAATTGTGGCTTTTGTTTCAGTCAAAAAGCATCGCTTTACTTTTCAAGGTTCAGCTAATCTTCTGGGATCAATAACTCATTAGAACAACAACACCTTTTTTCCAGCATGTTCATAAAAAGACACGCAAGTCACGCTCTGACCTGGACTGACAACACAGGGACCGTCTGCAAAGTGTAATGCCGAAACGTATAATACATACATATCCCGTTAATCAAACCATATGTAAAAACGTGCTTCTATTGTTTTATTGTTATTTTATTTTTTAACAATTTGCAGCAATGGACCACCCAGAATCTACATGTTGGTGACATAAATGAGAACAATATGAGAACAATTGCTGATATGAACGTCTTTTTTCAGTGTTGAACTTTATGATCCCAGTGCTGTCTGTACAGGTCAGATGATGACTTTTAATGGAGTTGGTTTGGTATGCTTGAAAGGCATACCGAACATATTTGTATGGCTTATTAGTCCCAGGAGTTCACATATCTGAATTTCTTCTAACTTAACCTGGAAACGTGTAACGACAGATTCCTTTTTCCGAGTTTTATTCTCGTAAATTTGTACATTTTTTTCCTCGTACATTTGACACTTTTTTCTAAAAAATGTACCACATGTTTGTGTACATATATGAACCACCGTGACCCTAATACGCTTTTTAAGTTCAGGCATTTTTGAGTTGAATTTGTAATTTTATTGAACCTATTTGAGTCTTGTCTTTGTCCTGAATATGAGCAGCCTCACGCAGCATGCAGGAGTGAAACAGAGTCATGAGCACATTTACAGTTACAGTAAATTCGAAAGACAGATGGTTTGGGGATGGCCTTACTCTGGTCCTGCCTGAGACCATTATCCCAAGAACAGCTGTCCCAAACTCCAAGATCCCACGCAGACTTCATCGAGTTCTAACAGAAGAGTTCGCCTTTGTCTCAAAACATATAGATTCTCCTTCAGCTGTTTTAGAGTGAAAACCTACACTTGCTGGATTACTTGCTTCCTCGTCCGCTCTGCATGTTTACACTGCCCTCAGGAGACTGCAATGGTTGAACTGGTGGTTAGATTTGCACATTATGAGCATTATCAGCACATTCTTGCATTAGTAGCATCACATCGAGTAAATCTGGCCCCAGGTCTGTTATTCTCACACATATTTAGAGCTGAAAAGCAGCAAATCTACAAGTTTGCGTTTGTCTTTGATGACCGGCCGAGCTGTCTCATCCTGTGTGAGGTGCAGGTAAACAGAGATTTTACACATTTGCAAGATGACTGGATTATTTTCTAACAGCCCTCAGAGTATTTGGGGGCACTTTGTACTGCAATCAGGTGCTTTCACAGTTCTAAAGCCCTAAAACAGATGCTGGACGTTCAAATTGATTCCGATAAACTGCGTGGGTGATTACACAAAACATCATCTCAAAGTCAAAGTTTGGCGATTTTGTAAATATGAATGTTAATACCACTCTCGTATGTACTCAGTCCAACTATTCCTTTAAAAAGATGTACAGTACAAATGCTTGTTGTGTAGTAAAATGTAAACGCTCAGACTGAAGGTTTACCATCACTGTGAGCAAAATTCGTGTCCTCAAACAAACCCGTCACAGCAAGCTACAGTACGACTCGGACGTGATGAGAGGTCAGAGGTTGTATCCTCGCCCAGAGAGCCACAGCAATGACATAAAAAAAAAAAAAAGATTAGTGGTCCATCTTTACAAACAGCGTACATGAGTAAGAAAAAAATCCTCTAATATATATTAAAAAAAGAAAAATCGAGGGTTTTTGTTCAAATTGCACCAAGAAATCTCCAGGTGACTTAACCCTGGCTTGCCTGCTTAACTTGGTTTCACCTTGTTTAAACTCTTTGTGTTAAAAAAACAAGAAGGTGGGGGGGGGGGGTTAAAAGATTCCTTTGATGAACCGCATTAGTTTTCCCAGTCAGTGCAGGGAAGACCTTCATCCTCTGACTCTGACTCAGGAGAGGCCTCCTTGATTCTCCTCAGAGCCTCGTGAATGCTGCGGGTCAGAGCGTCGGCCGAGTGGGGGAAGCTTTTGGGATGACGCTGCTGCTCCGGTCTGGTCCGTACCTTCCTAAGCCGGACGCCCTGTCGGATCTGAGCCAGGATATTGTTGCTGTCGTCATCCGGATCCGGGCCCAAGACCCGCAGCTCAGCCTTCCTCAGGTGGAAACTGCCCCGCTTGAGTGAGGCCAGCACCTCATCCATGGGAGAGCTCGCTGAGAACACAGGGCAGAGACAATTAGCCTCACAGTGTTTAGGCTTGGTTCACCGTTTAGCACACGGCCAAACAACCTACTGCTGACACACAATTTAGCTCCACCCTTTGTTTAAATACACCATTTCCCGTGACTGATAAAATGCTTAAATTACCTCATTTAAAAGTAGGTACCGAATGAGTGTTATGTGCCTTACATTAAACATTTGTAGTATTAACCAACCGTGAAGGTCTCTACTGCAATGAAAAGTTCCCTGCCCACCTCTCCTCCACTGCGACGAGTCCAGAGAAGCCGTCTTCCGCAGCTTTTTCCTCGCCGTTAACAGCTGGCTGCTGTCAAAGAATCGAGGGGAAAATGGAGCCAGCGGGAGCGAGGTGGAGTCAGACTCGCCTTTCTGGTGTTGAAGCGTGACGGCTGTGAGGTTCTTCTGCTGGTCGTCCTCTGAGGTGGGAAGTGGTGGAGGAGGCGGAGGAGGAGGCGGTGGAGGTGGGGGAGGGGGACCCAGTGAAAAGTTTGACGGCGTGGCTGAGAGTGGGGGCAGCGATAGGAAGGGAGGCGAGGGATCGAGGCCTTGGAGGTCGACCGCAGGTAAAGAGACGCTGTCACAGCCGTACGCGTCCAGCGGGAGAGGAGCAGAGAGTTCTGGGAGATCTGAGATGCAGTCGGTCTGAACGCCGGCAGCCTGGGTGCTGGGCTGCAGCCCAGCACGCCTCCGACTGTGAGTCTGACTCAGGCGCAGGCGGCTTGACTTTAGAGTCACCTGGCCTGGATACCTCTGTGTGGGGAAGCCGCAAGAAAGAAAGTAAAGCTGAAGGACTGAGTGTAGTTTAAGCAACATTACACACATGATTTTGCTTTAACCTCCTAGGACCTGGCATCCACATATGTGGACATCACAATTTGGGTTATTTAGACCAAAATACTACATTTTGCTCTACAAGTGCCTGATATCCACTTACGAGGACATTATACTGCCACTGTTTTATTGAAATTTTAAACAAATATCCTCATATGTGGCTCTCACTTTTCTTAGAAACAAAAATCAGGTAAAAAAAAATAAATCTGGTAATTCTTTGTTTTTACGTTCATCGGATCCCAATCAGCCCAAATATCAAAGAGAAATTAAAAATGCATGCCATGGAAGAGTTCGGGTCTTAGGAGGTTAATGTATCAAGACTATGTAGATGTCACTACAAGAACATAAAACACTGTGGACAAACACAAAATCATCTTTTAACTAAAAAAACGAAAAGTTACTCATCATTGGTGTTTGGGGAGGATTCAGTAAAGGTTCCTCCTCAGATGACGTGTGTGTTTATGTTAAGTCCTCACCTGCTTGAGGCTGCGAAGCCTGTCAAGTGTCCTCTGCCTCTCCTGACTCACTCTGGCGTTTTGCTTAGCTTCATCATCTTCATCTCCCTTTTCACAGAAACAGCAAATGAGATGAATGTGTTGTAGCAGGGTGAGGAACAATTGCTGCTTTCACTGCTTTGGTATCGATATTTGAAATTTGTCTCGCAGCAAGTTCTAAATCAAAAAAGTTCAATCATTGCTTCAGAATATTTGCCATGTCTGTGAGCATCAAAGTGGACTCCCTGTTTTCTTTCTGGTGCTATAATAATAAAACTGCATTGAATTAACTGGTAATATCATCTCTTCATTTACCGATAGAGTAGAACAGTGAATATATAAATCCTACCCCTTGCAGCCACAGATAGAAGTTTCTTACCTGCTGCAGCTCCTGCAGGGATTTGCTGTCAGCATGGCTACCTTGGCGCTGTTGTATCTTCTGGTTGTGATTGATGATACAGATTTCCTATTTGAGGAAGAACAAAACACAAACATAATGTTATTAAAAACAGACCTGTCAAACTTATCCTTAACCCACAGGAGATAAAGCACACGACCGTATCTTTAGCCATCGGTAATTTACCTTCTTATTTTTGAGGTAGACTTTCTTGGCAGTAATGCGGCCCCTGCGGGCCTCGAGCTGCCGGGTCCTCTGCTGCAGGGCGCAGAGTTCTTCTTCTCTGAGGGGTGACGGTGGGGTCGTGGGGTCTTCTACACCCTTCATGGCATCAGGACTCTCAAAGGTATCGTAGTACACCACCTCATCCTGTCGCTCTGGCAGAAAATCAGAAGACATTGAAGATTCAAATGCAGCTTGTGCAGCTTATACAGCTCGTAACAATGGCTCGAGGATTTGATCTCTGACTGACTATGAGTAGAAGAAAAAGTGGTACTGAGTGATAAAGTCAAAGCAGGACAGCTGTGGTGCCACGGGGTAAGCAAAGGACTTAACTGGGAGGATGAGGTTGGAAACCAATGAGAAGCCAAAACATTTTGTTTTATACTTGAAAACCACATTTACAGCACATGTAAGCATCAGTCATGAGTCTGACACACTGAGCTATAACAGAAAAAGAGAAAGAAAAAGAACAACCTGAACCAAACCATCTAAAGAGATGCTCACCTGTCATCTGCCTGCGCAGACTCTGCAGCTGGGCAGTCAGCAGCAGCTCCTCGCAGCGCAGCACCTCGGCCTGAATGTCATACAGCTGCAGCTGTAACTCATAGTACAGCGCCTCCAGCTGGTCCAGGCGAAGCATGGCATCCTCCCCACCCTGTAGACTCTGCATCTAGAACAACAACAACAGAGACTATTTCAAAGGCCAAAGGGCACCGTCCACAGGATTTTCCAAAAGCTCTACCTGAGTGACTGCATTTATATTTCACATTAACAGATCCGATGGAAGCTGAGCCAGTGTTTGTGTCTTCTCTAAGTGCTATGCTACAACACACTGACCAGGTACATTTTTAGTTTTAGTGTATTTTCAAATGCACAGCAAACATTTGACCTCACAGTCATTCCCAGTGAGTCATTTCCACTCCTGCAGACCAGGAAGTTGTTCCCTCCATTACAGGATGCCACAGCCATGAGCTCATTTTCCATCACAGCTATTATCTCGAGTTCTTCTCTTCTGTTAACTTCACTATGTCCATGTCCTCTTATTGTGGCTTCAAACCTGACTGAGCACCACCTTTTCAGAACACACCCAGATAGGCTTCAGAATTTTGACACTGATCTTGGTCCACATGTGTGATTCATTTTTGGGGGTTTTTTTTCAGCAGCATCAACATGTTATGTTTTACCTCCTCCTTCAAACCATGTTTCCTCTGTTCCAGGCAGATCTCTTTGGCCCTCATGAGCTGCAGAGTTTCTTTGGAAACGGCAAACTGCAGCCGCTCCATGCGTTCAACCGCCGCTGTCCACGCTGACTTTCCAAACTTTCTCTGGTCAGCTCGCATCCTCTCGTATAGAGCTATAACACATACAGTAAAGAAGTAAGGGAAAAGGGCTAGAGCTGCAGCGATTAGTCAGCTAGTTAACTGGCAAATGATTAGACATTTAAACAGCAGTTTAATGACCATAATTGTGGTTAATAGTTTTGAATCATTTGGAGCAAAAAGAACATGTGAAAAAATGGTTTGGCCTAAACGCTATAGTTTATTTCTGGAGCGTTAAATGCCTAAAATGGACAAACCAGCAGTGCTTTGACTTGAAATCCGAAGTAAATAAAGCCCATTTGAGGAAAAACATATTTTTATTCCAATTCATAGCAGAGAAGGTTTGAGGATTAAAATGTGTCACAAGTCAGGGTGGAGTGTATGTTAATGACTTTGGTATGCCAGAGGTTGGAGATGAGAACAGAGCCAGAATGTTTTATTTTCACATGATCTCTAAGCGCTCTCTTATGAAGTAAACATACTTTCATAAAGGTTCAAAGGTCACCACAAAAACAACGCCAGAGAAACTAGCCTCCTGTGTGTGTTTACCTTTCTGAGATCGAGTTGTGGTTTCAAAGAACTTGACAGTCAGGTCTTGAATGGAAAGCACTGCGGCGTGAGCCTTCTTCTGCCACTCCTCGTCCTCTTTTCTCAGGCTCTCCACACGACGAGGGCCGAGTCGCTCAGTCTCCAGAGAAATCTGGCAGGAGTTAAGGCAGCTTGTTAGAACAGCTTAAATGTACAGTACTTACATTAGATCAGGTATCATCAGTGAGGTAACAAGAGTTTTTATAGAAAGATTTTGCAACATGGTATTTATGCCTTGGTCTTACTGTTCTTTAATAATGTTTTTTTAAGTCTATCTTTGTTTACATTTTGGCAAACGGGCTCCAATTAAATGATGCCAAACTAGCAGCTGTCGGTTCCTGTTTAGGTATGTTCATGTATACTGGATTACTTTGAAACTGTAGAAAACTAAAAATATGTGTAAAGCACATTTCAGAGTTAGATGGAGATTCCCAAGCAGTTTTATGACCATCGTAGACTGTATATAAAAGATGGACGCAGCTTCCTGGTCTGAAACTTAAAGCAGACGAAGAAGCTCCTATTAGGCCACAGTTTTTTTCCTGATGAGTTTATGGATAATTGAGTTTCAAGCAAGAAGCAACATTCTTGTGCCAAAAACATCAGCTCTAATCGCGATTTGAGTCAATCCCTCTAGACTCACACGTCATAAAGCCCAACTTCAGAGCATTAGAAGGCATGTTTACAACACACACACACACACACACACACACACACACACACACACACACACACACACGTATATATAAATATAAAAGAGAACAATTTTTCAATCCCAGCTGGGCTAACTTGGCTCAAAGAGAAATCCATTGCCTTAACTGCCTCTTTGAGCTCCCTTTTGTTTGAAGAACACTGGCATGCACCTGTTCTGATCATTGTATGCCCCGCTTTCCTTTCTCTAAATCCCACTTCACGTCTGCCAGTTTGAAAACCACCACAAAAGACCATCTATAGCATTCTGAAATACCAGGAAGTCACGGCAGATGGTGATAACAAAAAGGAAATGGCTTAGGCGCGTCTGTGCACGCTTATACAGTGACACTGACCCAGTATACTTGTGAACAATAAATAAAACGATACATGCGCGAGGTCTTTTTTTCCCCTCCTGCCAGGTGAAAAAAAGAGGAAGAAAAAGAAAAGCGGTGTCACGTGGAGTTGTGTTCTGGGTGTTGAGGGAGAAATACAACCCCCTCTAAGAGGAGAGGGCAGGGAACAAAATGTACACACAATATAAGCTAAACTCCTTGCGAGGGCCTCCTGTGCATGCAGTCGTATTTCAATATCTTGATGCAAAACAGATGTGCGTAGGTGCTCAAAAATAAACAAGACTATAATAATCCCAATCAAAGCCCAAAGGCTTTGATTTATGTTAACCAGCATACTCTGTGCTTTTATTCTTGTGCAAGTGAGGCACAAGAACAGGGAGTGGTTCGGGGGTGAAACCGGGAGCAAGCGGGGGAGGAGAGTCTACATCAAAAGAAAAGAAAACGTTTGGCAGGAACAAATCTTAGAAAGTATATTATTTATTCACCTAAAAATGTCAACAACATGAGGAAACAAGAGCAAGGTTGCCTTTTAGCAGGTCGATCCCACCTGGTGAGGATGGACAGACATTCACCAGCCTCCTTTCCTTTACCTTTTTGCATGCCATCACTGACTTTGTCCCTGCTGACATCTGCAGCAAATCAAACTGAAGAAAACATCTCTGCATAAAGCTGGCTGTTGATCATCAGTCTGTTAGACTGGTTTTATGCAAAGCTGAAACGCATCCAGACAACTGACAAAATGCATCACCTGCTCTACGAGTAAAGCAGGCCAAAGCCCGTTGAAATGTAACACAAACACTAGCATTTGGGGAATTTCCTGAAATGTGCATTGTTTGAATATACTTGGTGTCTGATCAAAGTCTCAATAAGTTATGGAAATAAAAGAAGTGCGGTGCAAACAAGTGATGATTCAAACCTGTACAGTTGCTCGGAATAGGTGACACATTCCTATGACTAATATACATTGGGACTATGAGCCAAATGCAGTAAAGGAGTTTTACATTTTAATTACATGTCAGCTTTAAAATGCTTTCTGCATGTTTGGCTGAAAAGCAGGCCAACTAGCCACACAAATAAAATTAGCATCCTTTTCCCCCAGCCTGCTCCCTTCTAGTGTTTTATCACTCACTTCCTGCATACAGTTTAAAAATACAAAAAACAATGGTGGTGGGGGTTGGGGGGGTTGACTGAGTTACGTCTGTTAACACCTCTGGTCATGGTGTCATACAGTGATATGTCAGCCCTACTTAAAACAGAGGTGTGACGCCATTTCCCACGCTAAAGTGCTGGGATTACAGGACGGATGCTGTCATGGTAGCCCTTATCTCATTCGATTAAAATAGCATGACTGTGGTAGATACGAGGCAGTCTTCATCAAACAATTATTTATAATTATTTGAAAAACCTGCAGTTCCTTCAAAGAACCTATTTTAATTTAAATTGTATCTTGAGGTATTTTGTTACTAGCATCCTGTCACACAGGAGTGAATGTATTAAAAAAAAAAAAAAAGATAACACACTTAACCAGGCATAAAATATCATTTTTTGGACCAGGAAGGTGATTCTCAATCAGATATTAGCTGAAAACTTGACATGTGCAGCGTGTCTTTCACATCTACAGCAAATGAACAGTATCTGAAAGTCACGTCCTGCAAAGAACTGACACAGGTCTGGGACATACAGCTGTTTCCCGAAGCCTTATCAGAGATACTCTCAGTGGGAGGGTGGCCGCCAGGAATCAATCTTAAGGATGGGAAACAGGCCAAACTGCACAAGAACTGGATTGAAAATCAGTGCCAACATGTTTTATGAATTACTGGATCAAAATTTTACATCTTTAGTCATCAGTGTGTATTGAGGAGGTAAAAACAGAAGTACAACAGTGAGTGCCTACAGTCATCTGTAAAACATGGTGATGTCTTGGTCATGGTTTCGAGCTGCTAAGAAGGAAGACTTTCAATATATTATCTATTTAATTAATTTTGAACTTAAACATTTAGACCACAAAGAAAAAATGAGGACTTTTAGAACTAGTAAAAAACAATTAGATGAATTGCTTAATTAACTAATTTATGTGCATAGAAATGTTTTCTCTTAGCCCCTTTCTACTATTACCTACTCAGCTTGGCTTGGCTCAATTTTTAGGGTTTTCCATTCGATGGTATCAACAGACAGGCTTCCACACATTGGCCAGTCACTGGCTTCACTCCATGAGTCATGAGAGCGACTACATCACGAAACCCGCCATTTTTGAAAATGGCTACACAAAAAAACAAAACAAAACAACAACAACACCATGATCCCCAAGTTTGACGAAAAGCTGTACACCGAGCAGCAGCTATACCATCGCGTCGACGTCCTCCGTTGTTGGGTTGTGTGTGTCGCATGCAAATGGCATCACAGGACTTTCAACAGTATTGGTGTAATGACCCCGGGCACATTAGGTGGTACTCGTATGTAAGGAAAGCCACCAAATCCGAGCTGAGTCAAGTCCCTTCGAGTCGAGTTGAGTAGGTACTAGTGGAAAATGGCTTTTTGAGTCACAGGAAATTAAAACAAAGCTGCCTCGATGACACACTGAAGTAATGACAAAAGAAGGGCGAGGAAATAAATGTTTTTCAGTGATGCAGGGCGGTGGAGAGGTGGAGCATAGATAAAAGAGCAGAAGAACTTAGCAGAGGTGAATCTAGTGTAGCATGTTGACAACTGTTGCCATGTTAGAATGAATACAATGTGAAACTGTAACTGGAGCTCACCATGGCACAAAACCATCTCTGCCATGCCACAGTGAAACCACATTTTTAATTCATGGCTGCCCTCTGACCTCCTGAGCAACAGGACACCCACGCTGGACTGCTCCGACATGCTACGGACAATGCACCGTTCACCAAAATGCCTGATGAGAGAACATTCATTCAATTTTCCATCAGCTCTTTGCTGTTTCTGGTAAGCTCAGATGTCTCCAGTTGAGAGCGTGAAAACTTTTAGCTGAAAATTCACAGCTGAGCAGTAACAATGGTGAAATTAATGATTATACATATATATTCATATATCTCAGCTCCTACTTGTCAGCAATATTTACTGCTTTCTGACATTTTACAGACTAAACTATTTTAAAGTTAATTTAGGAAAAATAATTATCTCCAAGAAGATTAACCTAACTTTTAAGTACCAAAAAATATATCATGTGAGTATTAAATAATTTTTTCCCAATTCTCTCTAATGTGTAATGCCTCTACCTGACAAGATTACACCTTACTTAGATTACTTTCAGACAGTCATTTCCTCTTATGTGATTCCATGTGATTATGTTAGCTTCGTATATGAATGGCAGCCTGGTCACTTTTCAGTAAAGGTCAGACATGCATCACTTCATCAACTTTCAATACATCCTGAGTCTGAATGCACGTAGTCCCATTAACAGCATGCACAGAGCTCTCCTCTATCTTTAGATGCTTAGCTCACAAGGGGACAGTTTTTTTTAATCATCATGTCAGGGGCAAAAAAGAAAGGAAAAGAAACTGTTAGACTGTTTATTAAATATCCAGCTACTTCAACATTTCAGCATCAACAGTGATCTACAGTATAAACATCAGAGTGAAAAAGACAGTTTGCTTGCTTTTAGTTGCCACATCCACTCACAGGCCTCTAGTCTATCTATCACAGATTTAAGACATCATCAAATCAAGCTTTACAATTTCAACAAGGAGAACAGAGTCTGGCTAATGAAACTCTTTCTGTTCTTTGGAATCTCATGTGCAGAACATTATATACTGCAAGTACTATGCATGGTTACATTACTGTTCCAGAAACGCTTACATGAAGCCATAAAAGTGACATATGTCTGAATAACAGGACACCACCACTTTAACAGACTGATGAAAGCAGCATTGTTGTTTATTTAAAAGGGCTCCGCTATAACATTGCAGTGTGTAGGTCCTTGAAGCACTTTGGTCTTTTCACAATAACCTCATACATGCCATGTGTATTACTGCATTCACACTTGCAGATGAGGTCAGAACAGGTTGTAATACTAGCACCCGTCTGCCTTTTTCCTCCTCACCTTTACGACAACAAGCAGGATGCAAACTGCATGTAAGTGACATTCTCCTATGTGCTGATTCCCTCTTACACCTATTCCCCTTTCTTCACAAAGGAGAGAATCTCCACACCCCTGACTCATCAGTTTGAAAAAAGCCAGCTCTGTGTCAAGGTATCATTTGCATACAGCTTTGTCTTCAGCCGTTGGATTGCCCTGAAGGGAGCAGGTGGTACAGCTGGAAAAACTTGGGCACATGAAGCACATGGAGAAAATAAAAAAGGTTTGAGGTAAAAGTTGAAATAGTTGCATTCATTAGACACTACATTAAAGTTCAGGTTTAACATCATACCACACACAGACTACCAAACAAATGCTGAAGGATTTGTTTCCAGCAATGTAGCAGATCTATAAAACCTGAGGAATTAAAAGAAAGTAACAGAAAGTCTGACTCTCAGACTCTCGCTGGTTGTGAAACACCTGAAAAATCTTGGGAGGAGGAGGAGGAGGAGGAGAAGAAGAAGAAAGAAATGTAATCTTAGGAAAACATTTTGATGTTTACCTGTTTTTATTTATCTATTTTATTTACAATCACAAATTCTCTATTTTGTATTTCAACAGTTAAAGCAATATTATAAACACTACTATGTAGTATATAAAAATGCTGTCATGGGCTAAGCTGGACTACATTTCCCATAATGCAATTCATAAGCTCTTTAATTCAACAAAACGCCATGCTTTTATAGCCCCACCTACCCACCCGCAGCACAACAGTTTGTATTGCAGCATTGTAGTAATCGACACAAAAATGTACAAATGTCAGTGAAGGCTTCACACTTTGCACAGTTCATCAGAAACACATTGCTTATTTCTACTGATTTTTTTTTTTCACAGCATAAACAAGACTGCTAATCTTAAAACATAAGACTGCCAACACAGCTTAAAGGATTAGTTAATCTGCATTAATGGGTTACACAACTTATAAGCAAAAAATATTCACTGGTCATGGCCGGTTGTGTCAAATGTAAAATATTCACAATTTTTACTATTTTCTACCTTTTTTTTCCCTTGGTGCTTTGGACTCTCTTGCTCAAAAGAAAGATACAAAAAATATAAATAACTAATTGGCTATAGCAAAATACCAGAAGCTTTGAAAGATAAAATACTTCTCTTAAATTTGAAAAAAGAAATCTGTAGATTTACTGATTCAGACATATTTTTCTTATTGTCAATAAATAAAAAAGACCAACAATCAATGACGTGTTAGCCCTCCTCTAAAAACAAGTTGTGAAAAGAAATATTTTTAGTAACACTAACTTTATTTACAGGAAACTATTTTAGGTTATAGATAAATCCATAAATCCTTTGGTAGCTGGACATTTATAACAACAAACCACAGTTTATATTTGACTCAGTTCCACTAAGTGCAACACTGATGTGTTTTTAATATATCTGACAACAGTGGAGCTTTGCGTACAGCAAGTAGAAAAATGTACTAACACTTAAAATTTAGATTTCTTTTTTCCTAACTATTGCAAACATTTAGACTTCTCCTTTAAAAAAAAGTGCAAAGGGAAAAACAGTGAAATATCTCACTTAACATCAGCATCCGCACAAGAACCATCAAAACACACACTCAGAAATCACACCCCAGACACACACACACACACAGGCACTTGTGTTGTTAGTGACAAGATGCCGAATAAGCATGCTGTGAAAGGCATGTTGACAATGTAAAATACTCACAGCCCAACTGTGGGTGAAAGACTGAGACAGTCTATGAAAGAGAGAACAAAAGACAGGTAGAGAGATAGTAATAGGGACTGTATGAGACATTATTTCTATTGTCCATTAAATTAATGTCCATGAAACGTGCCTAACATGCGTTGTGCTTATCAGTGTAGACAGACTCTGTTTAGAAATTAATGGCAATTATTTACAAACATTCACCAATCTGTCTGACAGTGTTTGCAATCAGTCTGAGCTAGACCACAACTATTTGGATACAGGATGACTCCCAAGAGACAACCCAGGCAGTCGCCTTGTGATCAAAAGTCAGGGATGCTGCATGACCAGTCTGTGGGCAATCAGGTGATCACCCTGACCACTTGCAATTTGTGGCTGAATGTAAAGAAATTCAGTGCAATCACAGCAACCTGACCTAGTTGCAAGACAGATGTTGTCCTATTTTTACTCTAGCTAACTTCTAGTCTGATTGTCTTGGTTAAAAATATGAACTATCATATTAGTGAGAAATCAGCTGATTTATCCAATTTTCTATTGGATTTCAATGTTACGTATATCACTTCTTATCCGCTGAGCTTTTGGACAAGTGTACGAGAAGCAGCTAGAACTCTGACCTACTGACTGAGCAGGCATGTGCCTCCTCCTCTCCATGAAGTCTGTGAGACAGTAGGGATTAGTCTGTGGATTTACTTCCCTTTCCAAGCCTAATGAAGAAAAGCAACAAAGACAGAGCAGAGAAAGAGAGTGGGAAACAGAAGGCTGTGCTGAGGCTGCAGAATTACTGAGTGGTTTAGTGACTGCTGCAATAATACTTATGCTGGTTAAGCTGCTCTGCGCTGGGGGAAAGCCTCTCTGCTGATCCTCTGACCTCCACAGCCCCCAGTAGCAAATGCATAGCGCAGATCGGCTACTACCCAACCATCAATACCACTGCACCCAGCCTAAACACCTAACACTGCTGGTCAATGCACTTGGCTTAGAAGTGTAGGCTCACCATGCAGCGGTTCAGGGATCGTTTTCCAGCACTAATCAAACCATAGCAACAGCACTTTAACTGCTAACATGCACCACTGTAGAGCACGCCGACCAGTTAGTCGGCAATAGCTAGTGCTAAACCTACTTAAATCAAGCCCCTCAAACAGATGGTATTTGTAGCAGTGTGCCTGTGTGTATTACCTTAATCTGCTGTCGGCGCAACATTGCCAGTTCCCTCATGTCCCTGAAGGGCTGAAGCAGGTAGTGATAGAGCTGAGTTGTGGCTTCCAGCAGCTCTCCATACGCTTCGTCCTCCTCCGGGTACACCTGCAGCAGCTCCACCATGCTGTCCATCGCTTTGTGTTTATCCAGCACCTGGAGACAAAATGTGCATTGAACAGTATAGTCAGACAAACAGTCCACACAGTGAAAAACACTGCACTGGAGTAAAAGGTTGCTGATGCGAGAAAACCAAAAGACTAAACATTTCAGGCTTTACAAAGCCCTAGTGGTTGCCAGTAAAGACCAAAATCTAGACCAAAAGTGCCACAAATAATAGTTTTATAGTTTTTACAGGCTTGTTAACCACTAATTACTGTACTCTGTAGCCTTTAGCTGGGTGTAAATATAGTTAAATCAATAGTTAGTCAATCAGCAACAGATTTAATGATTAAATAGTGACTTAATGTTCAAGTCTTTTTTTAAGTAAAATGCTCTAAGTTGACTGGTTTCAGTTAAGGTGAATATTTGCTGGTTTCCTGATAGTAAAGTGAGTCTTTGGGGCCTTTAGCTCTATTACAGATCACCCAAAATACCTGAGAAAGTATCGGGCAGATATATTAGTAATGACATTGTTAGTCATCCCTAATTTTCAGCAAGCATCACTCAAACCTGAGTGCATGGTGTATTTGTATTTGTTAAAGCTCTTAAGCTGTTTATCAGGTGCATGTTAGTGGGTGAAAAGAGCACCAGGACAGAGTATGAAAAATATCACCAGTGGGGTTTTTTTTTAATGACTGGATATGTGACCTATAAAATCAGCATGTGTATTAAATGGAGCAGGAAAAACCTGGTTATTCACCTATCTGTTTACATAGTAGATTTCTGATATTCTATGTGCACCCATGTGTTGACTTCTCACCATCACAACCACTATCTTATTCACCCACAGAGACAGATCGGAACCAAGGATAAGAAGTTAATTATTCACTGTGTCCTGGTCCCGATTAGTACTACAAGTAACACAGGCATGTTTCTGAAAAGCAGAATGTGTACGTGTCTGCATGTTAGTCTGCTCAATACTTTGTAAAATACACAAAGATACCATGATTTCATATAACTAACATACTTGGAAAATATACCAACACACCTATTTGTCAGTCTACAACTCCTGCAACTGGTGTGTTGAGGGCATTGGAAAGTTGTGTAAGCTTAGAAATATGCGCATGTTAGAAAAATGTGAACATTATCATTAAAAGCTTTAAATTTATTGTAATTTAATGCTAATGACATGCATCTTTTCATAATTAGGCATGTCATTTTGACTCTTTATAGATATTTCGGTCTAAGTACTTTGAGTACTGAATTATTACGCAACTACAGCCAAAGTCTCAAATTACCCTAATTTCTGTATATTTTGCTAGGAGAATGGGAAATTAATGCAAACATACATGGAAATACACTACAGAAGCAAATCGGAGTTTAAAAAAAATCTAACAAGCTTGAAAATCAAGATTGCATGACCATCTTTATTCAACATAGGCTGAACTCGCTTATGCAAGCCTTCATGTAATGTCTTCAATTAGTCTTCAAGAAATAGTTCTCTAGGCTTCTTGAAGGACATCCAAATCTCTTCTTTGGACCTTGACTGCCTTTTGTTGTGTTCAGAGCTGTGCAGCCAGTCAGACACTTTCCAGATAGTACTGCATGGTTTGATCAAAATATGGCACTTTACAATACTGATAAAAACCTGCTGCCACTGATTTTCAGTTCTTATGCAATTTCGCTCAGTCACAACTGAGACCATTTCTGATATTCCTTTTTCTGATATTCCGTTTCTGATATTCCGTTCACCAAGTTTCCAGCTAATAGCTCTTTGGGAATCATTGTTTTGGTGCAAAAAAGCGATTCTATATATATACTGGGAACAAATTCTGTGTTTTTGTGACAGTGTGCTTGTAACAGCAGTTTAAAATTGGCTCTTTGCTAGGTTATCTGTCATTTGTAGATAAAACAGGCTTTTTTGTCTGAAGGACAAGGATAAATGCAAAGTGGCTTAATAAACCAAAACAAAAGAAAAACACTTCCCTGAAGTGGTCAAGTGCAAGGGCTGGACTGGAAAGAAGTGAAAAAGCAGACAATGTCCAAGGAAAAACTTTGAAAGACCTTCACAAAAACGGTAAAACTTTGCTCCAGAATACTTAACCTTCCTCTTGCATTAGGGTCAGCCGTGGCCTGTTTTTAGGATTTAAATGCATAAAAGTGGATTTTAAATTTGTTTATTTCAGCAAGACATTAGACTTTGTCAGAAATCTCTATTTAAACAAACAAAAACAAAAAAAACAACTGAATTTCACTAAATTATAAAAAGCTCTGGTGAAAATGATGACCTTTGTGTGTTGGAGTTGGTTTCGACCCAGTTATAATATAAGACTATAAAACTAAAAGGTTTTATGATTTAGGTTTTAGTGTGAAAACTGAAATCATAAACACACTCTGAGCTTTCCCACACTGTCAGAGAGAGAGTACACATCTCCAGTTTGTAGCATACAAAAATAAGAAGATTTACAATAAGCCAAACTCTTGATCGTATCTTTGCTAAAGATGAGAGGACACAAAAAGCATAGCAATATAACTGACCATCTTTCTGAGGACAATAGATTATCAACCAGAGGACAAAGATACATCTGATGAGGTCATCGCATGTGCTAGAGCTGCTCTCACTTCTGCTGAAACATACAAATCCAGAAGTGTTGACATAGCTCCATCCATCCATCTTCATCCGCTTTATCCGGGGCCGGGTCGC